ACATGTACAGTGCCACCCATAGAAAAAACTGTATATTTATTGCGCACAAAAAAGTGCGCTGTTTCTCGATTTATTTCTCCGTATTTTTAAACTGCAATCTCAAAATATTACTGACCGTGTGTTCACATTTTTGCACTATTTCCACATCAAAACATTTCCTATAACCGTTTGTTAATAGCCCTCCTAGGCCTGAAATTAAGACCATCCAAAATTTCGCCTGTTTATACATTGTACTGCCATTTTGGGTGGTTAGACAGTTTGGCCAAACGCGCTTCGTAAAGATGTCAACTACAAGAGTAGTTGATAGAGGTGTAAGGATTTTTTTGAAATCGAGCTTTTTAGTGCAGTTGAGGTAAGAATTTGGAGAAATAAATCCAGAATTTGTTGTGCGCAATAAATACACAGTTTTTTCTATGGGTGGCACTGTAGCTCTCCGGTCTGTCATTTTTTTTTTCGGAGAGCTACAGTTCTGCAGCTACAGTCAGCTGTAGTTGAAAGAAAAGTTGCAGAAAAGACCCTAGAATCCTAAAAGCAACCGAGAAGCTAAGGCAAAGAACCAAGGGCAGATAAATCAGACGGCATACCTCCTGTAAATACATTGTTGGAGGTGTTGAGGAGTGATTTTTCAACTGTCTAGAGAAGTGAGATACAATCTATGTCAGTTTTGTCTTGGTACAAAAAGAACCGCTCATAAACTTTCTATAAATATTTTCTTTCCGTCAGCATTTTATCTCAATTTCAGGGTTATAATAGGGAATACCCACTTTTTCGGTTGAACACTTCTAAAACCTGGTACACAGTGTCACAAAAGATTCCCGTAAAATGCATTCCTCTGGTAATAAATGCCGTCAACTTCGTCCTCCATCTGTTCGAAATGAACGAGCTATTTGTGTTTGAAGAAAAATAAAAGTCACACGAATACATTTGAAAGGTATTTATTGACTATGTTGCCATTGAAACATGTCTTTCTTTCAAAGCAGTTATTTTCGTATAGCTTCACGCCAGTTTATCAAGGTCTCAGAGCTAACACGAGATACCCAGAGAGACAAATTGAAGGTACTACTAGGTAGTATTAAAAATCAACTTTGATACCTACCAATGCCTGAAAGATTACAACATCTCATACATAGCCTTATAATAAAGAAGTGATTAGAATTCATCATTTCAATTGCTTTTTAGCTTCAATTTCCATTAAAAGATTCCATAACCCGTTTTTCAAGTAACTATTAATACAAGGAGTAATTTTGTTCTTTGGAAGAATTCTAAAATTACTGTTACATGTACATTAAAAAATTGACAGTAAAATTAATACCAATGGAAGTGAATAAAATTTAGCTATTTTTTTTTTTATGTTACAGACATCTTGAAACAAAACTGACAAAATATAAAATATATCAATGAAAATATATCAAGCTGTCTGATATACATTCTAGTGTTCGTATATCTATATGGCTAAATCACAAGCCAAGTTGACTGAGTCTAAACGTCATACAGGAAGATACAAACGCTGGTTCATTTGTCCTATTGAGAAGATCTGTGGGTTCGTGGCTAAATGTTAGCAAGTTCTAAAGGTTAGAGCAAACTGGAACTCAGTGCCACAGCAATCTTCGTGAAAGAAATATAATATATAATGTTACATATTATACTCTCAATTGTAAGTACGCGCACGTATATTTAATGTTTTTGTTTGTTGGTTTTTTTTCTACATTTAATAGGGATTTGTCAATTGTTAGCAAATTGAGGGATTGTTGAATATTTGGAGGTACATTTTAATATATATTATGCAATATGATAAGTTCATTCCGTCGGTCCTATATTTAGAAAAACGATAAAATTAACAAGGAGCAGTTCGATCTACATAATTCCTATGGTCTCAAGTGCTCGTGTATAGCAAGTCACGATGTGAAAATTACTGAAGTACCGCAGTAGGCGGAAGGAAGATAAGATTGGGGGGTTCTGATTTGTCTTTTTTTTTTTTGAATTAATACATTTGCACTTCTTTATAATACGCTTGACTTTTTCTTTTCTCAGTTTTTTTTTCTTACTAAAGGAATAAACATAATAATATTTCATCAAAGTCGAATTTGATGGCCTTATGAATCTGTAGATATTTCTATTGTGAAAATTGAATATTCAGGGAGGCAGTAAATACATTTTTTCAAACTTAATTGAAAATTGAATATTCAGGGAGGCAGTAAATACATTTTTCAAACTTAATTGAAAATTGAATATTCAGGGAGGCAGTAAATACATTTTTTAAATAAAATGAATTATTTCCTATTTGAAAAGTATAGTTTTCAGACATGACCAGACTTTGTTACAAACTAAGACTCGTTAAGCGTAGGTTGGTTAGATCACATAAGCGGTGAAGGTCAGTTGGGGTCAGCAAGCAACACAACTAAACTGTCCTGTAACATCTTGTAGCAATGACGTATCGAACATGTTACTGAAGAGATGCACATTTCATGGCGACAGAAACAGATGTTTGAGATGTTTCTACACGTTAGCAGCAGACATGCAACAGTCGTACATTATAACGCAAATTTAAAAGGGGTCGTGATCTCTTGCTTTGGGTTCAAGGGTCAAATAATTTTTGTATAAAGTCAAGGTTCTTTTGTTTTACTGACGTTGGTTTGATGCTTGCTTCATCTAAGTGACAATAAAATCTAAATGAATCACGTTCACCAAATTAAACAAGTAAACTCATGAATTAATTTTTACTTCTTTAGAAGAAATTTAGTCTGATCAACTTCTTGTTGATTAGTCTACATTCAACATTGTAATGATATGTTTTTTACTTGTGATTGTATTTTGGTAATTTTAAAAATAAATATATATCAAATTTTCTTTACAAATGATACATTATGAATATTTTACTGATATTGCATTTAATACCGATTTCAAATTAAAGCAAATTAATCTGTCGGCGGAAGTTGAGTAATTAAAAATATATTTTCAAACCATTCTCATGTTCATCATATCTGATGAACCGCATTCAGCATAATTAGAATTTTACATGTAACCACGATTGGAATGTACATAGATTTGATCATTTCATTGCTTTACACCTCTGCGTGTATTCAACCTTCCTTTTTTACGTTCTCACCAAAAATACTTCATTAATTGATTAGATATTTACTCGTTACGGAATTGATCAACGATACAAGAAGAATGCGCCCACAGCAACTTCGGAAGAAACACCGTGAACACCACGTACATTTTTTTGCCATGTGTCTGAATTGATTGTTGGGACAGGAAGAGAAAAAGATCTGTTCGAAAATCAAACTGGATCCGTCGTTTTTTATTTCGGAAATGTCCAATACCGATTATATAAAATGGTAGAAGGTCACTGTGTATTATTTAAAGAATTTTCTTAATTTGTCATGTCATGATCCTTCATTCAAAAGAAATACATGCATATTTTGGGTCGTAAACTTTAGAAGACGGTTCCAAATGCACCATTGATGTTAATATTGAATGTTAAGTCTATCAGAAAATAGAAATAGCCAGCACCATTATCATGTTTGAATTGTATTCAACTTGTATACGGAATCAAAATACATTTTCTTCGTGGTTCCTTGAGGAGTTGCAATCCATCATTCCAAATGTTGAGATATTCCGTAACATCAGAATTTATTAAAAATGATTTTATAGACCTCCAAAATAATTTTACAAGACAAATGGAAAAATAAACGAAACATAATATATTTACTACAGACCATAAAACCGTCATTCTCGTAATAAGCCACAGAAGGTTATGATAAAATTCTTTTTTCAACACCTAATAAAACCGTGTGTCTGCAAATGAATTATGATTTAATTTCAGACGACCGAAATATGAATTAACACAGGAACAGACGAGAGATATTAAATACAACGTTTATCGCAGCAAAACATAGACTTGTCAGTGGTTGCACTAATTACCCATGAAGCAGTATATTGTTTCTCTGAAATTGTTTTGACACAAAATATTTTGCTAATTCACCTTGCCGCCATTGATAGGAAAACAAAGGTCGGGATATGTGGAAATATTTCATGATCTGTTTTTCAAACTATCATACTTGCTATGTGCTAGATGTTTGAGGAAAATTTATAGAATAAAAATATTTGTAAAATACTAACTCAAGTTTACGTTAAATTGTGTGTGAGTTTTTTAATTATGCTTAAAATCTTTCTACACAGATCTTTACTGTATTGTAATACAAGTCATTCATTTTTATGCTAAATTTCCAATAAATTTGTGGGAAAGAAAACTTTTCCCTGAAATGTCCCTTTATCACCTAGAGAGTTAGGTGGGGACTCCATGATCCCTATTTAATGACAAATTCATGTTGAATGCGGGAAGATTTTGCGAAGAGGAAAGTAAATGAATTGCCGTATAATGTATTGATCAGCGCGGAATTTAGCATCTAAACAGAAATTAATGATGGGTCAGCGCATAGATCATTATACGGTCAATGGAGGCGTTTTGGGGACAATATCAGCATGACATAATGCGGTTACACTATCTCCCCCCAACATATTTATCATAGCTTTCTTAACTGTCCTCGCATTGTCTCCAAGGGCTATCACAGGGGTTGTTCTTTTATTTTGTCGCAGTGTGCGCCTGGGTCCATTTAGAAATTTTAAGAATTGAATTGGCTACATCGGGGCACAATTAATCTATTTTATCGTTTATTTATGGATTAAAGTGTTTCCATATCTGTCACGAAAATCGGATTATTTTTCATGTAAAGTCGGAGGAATCACACCTTTGCCGAGTTTGTCCCGCTGGGCAGCCCGTCTTTAGAGGATAAAGGGTCAGGAAACAAAAAAAAATCAACTAAAAGTATTTTTTCTAATAAGAATTGTATTTGAAGGGGCGTTTTTAGGAAGGGAATCACGAATATATTTTTTCGTACATCGTTTACAAATCTATGTGTCAGTCATATGGTTATTGCCGGAGGAAAGCAATGTATACGTAACAAGTGCGCAAGACACATAGATAATGGTGATACATAAATGAAAACACGTTGAGGATTACGAAAAATAGTTATTCCTTCAAATTCAATCAAACCGACGACTTGTTGAAACGATGCATATTTGAATCTGATCGAGTCTCCAAAATAATTCACCAAACGACAAAAGGCACTATAAATGACGTTGTAACATAAAAGTGAACGATTAGAGAGTATATTCAGCACTACACACATACACCTTCTGTTTTTATCTATGAGCAATCGAAGAAGGTGTCCAGTAAACGGCGAGCGTCAGGTTATGGGGAGTAATGCGCTAACTGCTGCATAAATTTTCTCCCAGTGTGTTTTGTACTTTTTGGCTCGCGTGCCATCCTTCAGATCTCTCATCGTTTGCCAGTGACACTACGAAAACTTCTTGCAGGATGCTGACGAAAGGAACCAGGTTTTTTTAGACCACTGGTCGCGCGTCATATAATTGCATAATTACCTAATTAGTAGATTAAATTTCATTGGTAGTATTTGTGAGAAAAACTTTCAGATTCCCATTTTTTTCACATTGTGATTCTTCGTTTCGGACAACTGATTCTAATCGGAGTACTTTAAAGGAAAGGAAAAAAAAAACTTGGTGCTGATTTGTTGAAGTCGAAATTGGTCAATTTCTAGTAGGAGTTAAAAGGAATTGCCTGGAATATGAATGAACATTCGGACTTTTTCTTCGAAAAAAGATGCATGCATGTGAAAAATGCCAAAGTTTAAGCCCGTAACTTTAGGGATCATCAGTTTTGTGCTCTTCGGAATTTCCTCATCTGTTGCTTACTTTGGGTAAGTACTATTCAGTTATTTAATTTTAAAACCATCTTATTAAAAAAAAGTAAAAGTATAAAATTTAATAAATATTTTAAAAAGGAATGAAATTTAAATTGATTTTTCTATATCAGAAACTTGTCTGAAACGTGATTAGTTATGAGAGGAGAACTGGCTCTCTCAAGATGAAAACCCACGTGGATGTTTCACTGCCTCTCGAATTTTCTCTAATGCAAAAGCAGAGAGAACAATTATGCGGTCAAAAAGAAATAGTTCTCAACTAAACAGATGATTAAATAATTACTGAGGATGCAAAAAAGCTTGAATTAAATTGAACCTTAATTAAGCTTTGCAAGATATCTTCCCTTGCAATTTGTTTCCTCTTGAATTTAAATATCATCGAGGGGGAAATACGGCACAGAAACTTTCGTTTAAATGGAAACAAATGGCAAACAGCCGTGAGCAGATTCAATTATCCAACTACTATTACGGGATTTAACACGACAAAGATATACTATTTTCAGATCTATTTGAAAAATATCTTAACCAGGGTACTCGAATTTCTTACTTTATGTCACCCCGCCCGTGTAAGTACTTTTCATTCAATAGAAAATGCATTTATAAGAAAAAATCTCTTTGAGGTCGAGACGATCATTACTTAAGTTTTTTTTTCAAAAAAAATATTTTACAGTGATCTAAGAAGAAGATGTTAAAAAACAAATCACTTTTAAATCTTGTTTAATATTTTAATCACGGCTACTTCAATAGATAAAGGCCTATGAAACAACTGTGCCCGTAATGATTTTCTCCTTAAGAAGTCCAGATTCTAAGCTTCTGAACCTCGTGGTTGTTCATCGTCAATTATCGGCTATTAAATCACAGATAAGCTGCAATTACACATAACTATAAACCTGAAAAAGGGCTGCAATGAAGTGCACGGCAATAAGACGAAAATACGTCAAAGAATTATTGTACAACTGTTCATCTGGCTATAACTTCTAAAGACCTGATCCTTAAAATAAAGGTGCGTCCATTAAGATGTGATCTTGACTTTATCAATATTGAAGAAAGAACGTCAAATCTCTTTGAGTATGAGAGGAAGTTCTCTTTGAGCCTGAGATGAATGGACAACATATATTCTATAATATCTTCTTTACGCAACTGTTACCAGCATGGGGAATGTCATTGAATGCTACGATCACCCTTTCCGCCAACACAATTCTTGCAGTGTTTCGCCGTATACTCTCGCCAGTCCTAACTCTGATGTATCCTGACAGTTATAGAGCAAAATCGGAATACTAAAAGCCAACATACTTTCTTGCAGTTGCCAATTCCACATTTATCACAAGCATCGGCCTTTACCCACCGAATCTAAGAGATAATGTAATGATGGCTTCAGACGGTTTTCTGTAAAATTTTTTGATTAAACACAACATCCTGCAGTTCTATGTATTATACAAGTTTTCGTAATCGACTATCAAAATTTCGATTAATTTCCGGTGTTGTTGCAAGATCATTTTGTAAAGGTTTTAATCAAGTATTTAAAAACAATCTACAAGGTACAACACATGTGTTTTTGTTGACTGGTTCATTTATTTAAAAATGACTAATTTTATGTAAATTTCTTAATTGGTCTGGATTTATCAAGACAATTAATTAAATCTGCATCATATACGGATATAAATGAAGCTGTCATTGGATCGAGTGCAATATGACCTACGACTATGCAGAAGTACGGGCTATTCACATGTAAAAATCGAGGATGAGCGGAGCGAATTTTTCCACATGTAGTGAAATCATAATTTGGCAATTTTTTTAATCTGTCACTTATGCTTATATACTTCACACCTCTATATCCAAAAATAGCGCTTTCTAAATAAACGTCCTTTAGGATGTGCTTTGAAATTTGTTTTGACACATATTTTGTGCACTTCTTTTGGCTTTCAGCAATAAATGACGATATCAAGTTTGTCATTCAAAAAAGCACTGTCACCCCATCCCTTGTTAACAAAGACACTTAATGATTCACAGGGGCATTTTCTTTTGGTGGGGGTCAAACCAAGGGGAGATAATGACTGCCTCCCACACAGGATTTTAACCCTCGGGTCTTGCCATCTGGCACTTTATTAAGATTCAGCATGCGGTAATTAATTTATTGCAGCCACCGACGCAAAGTTCTTAAAAAAAAATATAAGGTTGTCGTTAAAAGTTATACCGGAAGGGGTAAGATCAGATTATGGCAGATTTTTTTCTCTTAAAACATTTCAGTTAGAACAATTTTGTTGTTTCAATTTTCGAATTTACAATCTAATAAATTAAGTACAGTGTAAACAATCTAATAAATTAAGTACAGTGTAATTAATTTAGAGCATGATAAAGGGTACCGCGAAACTCCTTTTTCCTAATAAAAGGAATATCTGTTATATATATGTCACATTAACTTAACATATCAGATTTTTTTTTAATTTGAACATAATTTATTGTATAAATATACAAATGGTTCGAACACAAGTTCTAACAACTTACGAGGTTCTCACCATAAATAGTTACAACTGTCTATGTCTTTAGAAAAAAAAAATGATGTACAAACAGGATTGTTTTATACATACATTCATTACATGTTCAGTATATAACTTATTTGAGGTCTGGTGTTGGGCTTTAATAATTAAATAAACATACTAGAATTACGTATCAGATTAATGGAATACAGGATCTGATAAGCCATTATATATACATATATTCGTGTAAAACATAAATACCATCATTTTCACTAACAACAAATTACAGCATAAAGCTAATAATGATGTGTTGAAACACTGCGCTTGTAAAATAGGGGATGTTTAATTTTTTTTAAATTAATAGATTAATTTGAATTTATGATAAATCACTAAATAGTTACCTCAATTTTTACAGAAATAGAATTATTGATGCAAATTTATTTCTTGTACCAAAGGAGACTTTATGGCTGCAGAAATGACCAAGAATTGGTAAACAACCATTTGACAGAAATGAAAATTTCCGTTAATACTTATTTTTTGTGAAGATTACAAATCTTTTCAATGAACTACATGCCCATTTATAAATGTGCGGTTAACCTTCAAAATATTCTTAGATTAATGGCTATGTCCAAAGTGGTTGTAATTGGTTTTCTTATCATTCAAGTCTTTTGTTCCAAATGCGAACAATGGAGAAGAACACGTGTAGAGGAAATTCAGCCGTTTGAAATTCATTTTCTTTGATTTACGACAATCAGAACTCGGTCATTGCCTAACAGTGACCTTGGCGACCGTCCTAAATCTCAATCCTATTTGGAAATATCAAATTAAGGAATATTGGATAGCATTTAACTTTCAAAAAATTGAAGTCATTGGATAAGCTTAAACGTACTCCACGATTTGCATAAAACAGAGTGGTAGATTAAGAGGGGCCAAGGGACCCAGGACCCGGGACCCCTTTTGGGACCAAATATATATATAAGATTAATATATATCTTTTTTTTGTTAGATATTTCATTCATTATGCAAAAAGTAAACCTAACATAAGTCACTAAATCCTGGGGCTTCGCCACCTGGGACCCACCAAGAATTTGCCCTTGACTCAGTGGGGGGCGTAAAGGTGGCCCCAGACCTGTTGGGCCTCCTCTTCTCAAGAATCCTTGATCAGCCACAGTTTTTAAAAATTAGATATGCTGCATAGTTTTATTTTTAATTAGTATCAGTTATTCACAGAGGCTAACTACGGAAGGTGTATCCTAAAAATCAATGATTTGTTTAAACACTCTTGGAATCCAGCATATTAAACATAAATTCTCATCTTTTGTTGTACAAATGTTTTAATCACATTTCTGTAGTCTAATGGGTCTCCTTAAGATCTGTCTTCATTTCTTAGCAAATCAGTAACAATTCTTGTCAAAATTTTATATCACTTCATTCGTCAGGATTGACTTATATACCTGTGTAACAAAGGCTAATAAACAGAAATAACACGACTCATGGTTCATATGAGAGAAAAGTGTAAAATTATCCATTAGATTCACGCAAACATTGTCTATTTTACTGTATCGGTCATAGAAATTAAAGAGAGTATATTGATGTACAATTCAAGGCAACTCGTAACTTTAAACTGGTTCACTACCTTCCGTCCCAGTCTTTTAGAATGAGGTTTATTTCGTAAAATTAGCTATTTTAGAAATACGTTTAGTTGAAGAGAATCACTTCTCTGACAAAATTCGAACGATGTAAAAATTATGTTCATAAAATGTAACTATTTTATATTGAAAGAAATGAAGAATTAAGAATTGATTTTAGGTTAACATGGACTGAAATACATGTATTTTCATCTGATATAAAAGATCATACTGAATTGTTAACTTATGATTTTTGGTAACTGAGATGTTAATATTTTATTATAGGTTAACATCAACTGAAGTGTTAACCCTAACTCTGGATCACCCAGCATTCCGTGACAATCGTATCCCTGGAGTCTCTCGAACTTTTTCGCCGTCAAAGTTATGTGAAATGATGAAGCTGTATCGAAAGCAAAAGAAAATGTGTCGAAGAGGACGAGGGACTGCGCATGTGCTGATGGAAGCTATTCATACTTCCGTTCTTGAATGCCAGTACCAATTTCAGCATGAAAGATGGAATTGCTCCATAGATGAACCCTACAGACAAAACATGCTGAAAAAAGGTATTTCAACCTTTCATTTCGTTGGTAAGACTCGCTGCTCATATGATATTGCATTTGGAATTTTGTCAGGTGGCAATAAAATAGCATTAAAACTAAGTTTGCGAAATGGATACTGGCAAAGCTGCATGATCTCTATGCGAAAAATCCTTCTTTACCATTTTATTACCTATAAGTAAGCAATGTTTATAATTGAAGAATAATTATGATTCTGACGCTGTTCGAGTTCTAGTAACCGTTTCAAAACGGAACGACTATGAAACTTTAAAAATATCATTATTTTAAGTAGCCATATTTTTGAAAATAAAATAAAAATTATTTTTTAAATATTTCCTCAAAGTATATGTCAGTAAAACAAAGCTTTCTCTTTCTCTCTCTGTCTCTCTCTGAAAAAATTTCAAATCTACTTACAAAATGTTACAAAACATTTAAAATTTATTTAAACAGGGTCAGTTGTGCAGATAACCTTGACCTCGAGTTACAGCCAATTGTCTGATTAGAAAACCAAATACTGTGTAGTTGTGAATTAGAGAAAACGCCTATCAACCTACTATTATGGAATTAATAATTTCTATAAAAAGCACGATCATTTAAAGTTTTTTGCGTTAGAAGATAATTTGCTTAACCCCAAAAGTCAATTGGCAGTTAATTTGCTGCCTTTGAAATGACAAAGTATTAGGCATGATTGATATGCGGTGGTTGGAGTTAAATACTGGAGTACTCCAGTATTAAGGACAAGTTCTTATATTTCATACATATATCAATAAAAAAGGGTTCTAGATTCTCTTTATAAAAGAGCTCTATCAACATTGGTAAAAAAAGTCGTGTCAAAATATGTTCTTTACCATTTTTGACAAAGGATATCGTTTTACTGATATTATTAATTAACGTATTTTTAAGTCATTAACAAAAGTAAGAGTACTTTGGTTCTTTTGAAATCAGCCTGGCCTTAGAAAAAAATTCTATCTTTTATATGAAATTCGATAAAACCATATTATATTTTAATCACAACGATGCTTGATTTTTTTTAAGTATATTTGAGGAAATTATCTAACACTTATGAAAACAGTTATATTGCTCAGTCATTGTGTTTGTTCGACCCCAGAGACCCACTAAACAGGGGGAAAAATTGAGTTATCATTCGTTTTGCAAAGAATTTTTGTTGGGCAATAAGATACGATAAAAAAAAAAAAGCAATGACAGCATTTGATAGCCAGGACATTTGTTGTCTAACACTTATCACACTGGTGAAAAAGCATCCATTACTATCGAACGATGTTTTGTATGTGATCTATCACAAAGTAATAGATTATAATCAATGATGATCGATAACAGCGGGAAATTCGTCCCGAGGAGTCCCGATAATCCGAGGCGCAGACGGTCACAGCAGACGACCCGCTTAGGTTGTTTGCTCATGTGGCAAACTTCAAACGATAAATATCACGATGTAACCATGTCTAAGATTTACTTGGATTTAAATCAGGAACTTGGCGACATTTTTAAGGACACATACATTTCACACCATACCCAACCAGATTAGGTAATCTTCAATGCTAAATTATTGGACATTCTTAGGTTGTGACGATAATTTGTGCTCCATTTGGTCTAGTACTCAATACATAAGACCAATTTTCTCTCAGGATGCATTAAAAAGCATAACTTTAACAGTATTCTTGGATTTACTGCATTAAATGATGAAAAAGTGAAGATTTGAAGAATTCTTGGTTACATATCTTCGCTTTCAAATGGGGCACTACACCTGCGATAAGTAAATATGAACTATGCGCTCGAATCTTAGAAAACAATTTTCCTGTTTGTATTGAAGAAAGTCGGTTACATTTTTTTTTCTTTTTACAAGAAATTATTGATTCCCTTTCTAATTTAGTGGAACAACTTTCCGTGGAGTTGTTATTGAATGTCTTTACCAATGTGTTGATCTTTTAACACTATTTTTTTTTTTTTTAATTATAGCAGAGTTTTTTTATTCGGCAGGTAAAAAGCGCCCATTTAATAAACAAAAGTGCTTATTCAATATATGCCCTTTGTGTACTTAACACTTAAACAGGTCAAGTAAATTACGGAAACGGTTTATATGTTTTGCAATATATAATCAGTTATGCATTCGTTTCATCTTGCATATCGTAACTGACTTGGTTCTACCAAGCAATTGAAACTAGGTCTTCGGAATTAAATTCCTTTTGGAAGAAAAAACAGGAAATTAGATTCTCTCATTAACAAGGACTTGATCACACATAAAATTGTTGATTGATATTTTCTTTCTCTATGATAAAGAATACAGGACAATTTGATAAAGTAACTGAAAACCACATAAATAATATTTTATAGACTTGTGTTGCGGATTATTGGGCTATAAACTAACGCCACATAAAAACCTATAGCCATAAAATAACCCCTCAAAATTAACGTCTAACCTGTTACAATTTACATCGAGAAGTGCAATTCATGATTACAAAAAAGTGTCAGTGATTATCAAAAACTTGTAAGCAATATTTTTTATGCGATTGTCCTTTTCTCGCACACATACAAAGCCATAACACGTGATTTAGGTGAAAACTACTCTTTAAGTTCACAATGCTTAAGTCGACGGACAATCTTTAAGTATTTTGGTAGAACATCATTTCTCATCTGACAGATGTCATGTTATGAAATAGAATTCTTCCACGCGACACAAGTTTTCTGTAGACAGTTGGTTGTTGGAGAAACATTAACCTCGTAACCTTTTGTTTTCTTGGTAGCAGATTCACCATTTTTAGCCTTGTTTACCGTAAAAACAGGACTGGTAGGTGGAATATTGCCTGTTGTATAAATGTGCTTACTTCTTTATATGCTGTCAGTTAAATATTTGCCAAATTCTTTGCATTGAATGAAATTTTATTGAAAGACATAAATTTTCATTTCAATCCATCGGAACATATTTCTTAAGAATAAAAAAGTTTAATTTGTAGTCAAACTGAACTAGAAATTCGATGTTGCATATCTTAAATGACTTTCTTATGTCAATGTCTATAAGCATGTGATATTGAATAAATTAATTTAAAAAAAAAACATTGCTGTATATTTTAAGTCAGAGAAAAAAAATTGCTAATGACTTGATTAGACTTTTTTTCACGACAAACAAATTCAAAAATCGTTAGCACAAACAACTTCTACTTTCAAAAACATCATCCTTAAACAAAACTAATTTACATCATTAAAACATCCTCCTAATACATAAACACAAACATACAATACTGACAAATTTGTCATCCCCCGGCTTTTCATGTTGAGTGGACAAACAGCTCTGTAGGAATGTCCGATACTCACTACCGGCCCCCTTGGTGTTAATTATTAAGCATTACCTGTATTATCATTCCCTGGTATTTACGGAGGAGAAAAACAAAATGACATGCACTGTGGGAAAAGCAAACGAACCTGGATTGGATTCCATCATGGGGTCTGTCTGGAATCTTCGCAGGTCACCATAGGTCAAATCAATTATTTACTCATATTGCACTTTTATTTTTTTTTGTCCCCATATTTTTTGTTATATATAACAGATGAAGAATCAGCAATGTAGATTAAACGATTGGATTTTAGTGCTTGTTATTGTTTTATTTGACTGTAATTTGACAATGAAATGCAAGGAATATTGCTGAAATATTTTCCTCACAAAATGAAGAGATCGTAGATAAGATACAAGAAGACGTTTTATATGTAAGGATTGATAACAAAATTTCAATATCTCTAATCCAAAGAAAAATTTTCTTCGTTATTGAGTTTGACACTTATTTAACACAGGCCTGCAAGTATTAAAAAAAGACAGAAATTATAAGATATTTTCGTAAGGATCAAGGAAACACATTGTCGTTCAAGGTAATCTGAACTCTCTTGGAAGATTTCAAGATTTTTGTATATTTTAAATGAATGCTCCACATATTTCAACTTCTAAACATTTGTAAATACAGTATACACACGCCGACGATCGAGCAGGTGATGTAACAGCTAGGCTGCTTAAACTTGAGATATACCAGTCATTCCAAAGATGTTCCGATAAAAATAATTTAAAATTCTATCATTTTTATGAACTAAATATAATTCAGTGTAACGAATTCCCATGTTCACAAATTCTCTCCATCGATTTATAACTAATGCCAATTAAAATTTCTCCATTAGTCAGAATATTAAGCGACAATGCTACAAATTCATTGAATAAATATTTTGTATCTTGAGCATTTTGTGTCGGTTGACAATAAACGTTTTGTTACTATATTTTAAAAGCGTTTATTTATGGGTGAGAAATGGTCTAGTGTGCAATCTCAAATCGTCATTTTATGTCTCAATTTCTACACCATTACTTTTCCCGATCAAAGAATGTCTCATCCTTCGGGGTGGTCGTACAAGGATGAAATTAATTCAAATTTACAGACTCATCGAATTGTCGTTAGCATAAATTGTAGTCCAAACTTTAGTAGGAGTCATTGTTGATACCTTTTGTAACACTACATTGGCGCATGGATACAGGTCTAATTACTCCTGGATTACTGCGCGTCACCTCCCACCAGCAGTAAGCAGGTGGTAGGGGGATGGTGAGATACTAACAGCAATTTAAGCAAAATAAACCGCATTTTTACTTTCAAGTGCCCCATTAAAAATACTGCAAAATACCTGAGCAAAAATAACAAAATTACAATGTAATGAATTTGTTTTTCTGACTCCCTCGAATTGGTAGCCACCGCCTTAATAAACATCTGAATTGGGATAGGTCGAACCAAATTTGACTCGCAATTAAGTAAAAGTAAACTTTCACTCATTGCAAATGTATATTAAATTAAAAGGTATTGAATTTCAGAAAACGTTATCTTCATATAGGAAAGTTTTGTGAATTAATAATCAGATATCATTGATTTTTTTTTAATTTTCAGGTTACAAAGAAACGTCATTCCTTTATGCAGTATCGTCTGCAAGTCTCGTGCACACTTTTGCGCGAGGCTGTCGGAGCGGACAAATAGACAGATGTACTTGCGACGAATCCAAGCATTTGAATAATGTAGAAGCTTGGAAGTGGGGAGGATGCGGTGATAATATCAAATTTGCTCTCAAATTCACGAGACGATTTCTCCGACGGGCAAAGACACGAGGCAAAGACGTAGCTGCAAAAGTGAACCAACACAACAGCCGTGTTGGAATAAAGGTAGGCTTTCAACACCCCGAAAGTAATAATTTGTCTGTGTAACTAAATTTCAACAAACAACTTCAACAAAGTGTAAACAGTATGTTACTCAAACTTAAGAATTCAATATCTTTAGGGCACTGTTTTTCTTTTGGAACATAAACCCATACCCCAGTTGTGTTTTCCAGTGATGTATTTGCACTCTATACAAAAGCTAAGCATGCTCTTAGATACCAACTTGTCAGCACAAATACATTGATCATTCAGATTTACCAACAAAAGCCTTTAGAGCTACTTCTCTTATCAAAACCACTTAATACCGACCGACAGGACAAGATAACTTTGTGTATTCAGTGAAGATCACATTCAACAGTAATTGTGTATATCATGTTGTAGAGAACAACCCCTTGTTTTCTGTTAACCTATACACTAATCAAGGATTGGGAGATACAGAAAGCCATCACTTGTTGTTTAATAATGGTCAAACAAGTTGTCGGGTGTTTTTTCTAATAATGATCATTATTTTTTTTTGTGTGTGTGTCCTCCTGCTTTTCTTCCAACCTTTGAATATATGGTATATACTTAATGTCTACTTTCCAAGAAATTAGGTTTTATTGAAAGTATAGTAAATCTAAAGTAAAACAAAATGTATGTAGCTTCTTCACTCAAGTCATTTATTTCCTCACCTTTATATTGTACATGCGTATCATATTGAATTTTTTCAAGCCAAGAAAAATGCCTGTTTTAGCCGCCTCTTAAATTGGAATACTATCTTTGAAATCAGTGTGTTACATTGAGTTGTCAGCATTTTCACAGGGAAATGGCAAGTTCAGGGGAACAAATGTAGAAAAGTTATTTCAGGTGAAATTCTTTTTCTCTACTTTACAGTCAGAAGGTCTTTAAACTTAACTCACTTCGATGAACTCTAAATCTACAGATCACATGCTCAATTACCTGCACGAGGATGCGTTGTTTTTCTATTTACATATGTACTTTCTAATGTTTTGGCTAACTTAAACGAGGAGTGAAAAATGTAAGGCGAATGTCAGAATAAAAAAGAAGAAAAATTAGAACAAATGATCTAGCGGTCACCAGCTGGTGAATGTCCAGACCACTCAGAACGAGGCTGAGTAGTATCGTTTGTCTCTATTACTTCTACACATTAAAAAAATTAGTAGGGGCCAGGTGCCATGTTTATTTGATAGTCATTTGGATGTTTATAGAAAATCACGATTTTGGCAGTTTGTAATATCATCTGTCCCTGAACCTGGGCTATGTTTTTTCACAAACTGTTCTATTATTCCGAGGACACCATTTAATCGGAATATCGCTTATGGTCTTGGAAATCGTATCCGAGATTCGATTGCTGGATCGATATCCTCAACACCCTCGCTTACGATGAAGTTTTTAAATTTAATACGTTTCTGTTTGACCGTATTAATTTGTATTTAATTTGAAGTACAATGATGTTTTATATTTATTTCCGAAATGAATCCAAAACATCAATGTATTTCTAATCAAATATTGAAACATTGCTTGACTGTACATAAAAATGCTGTAAAAAATCAGCTTAATATTATAAATTGACTGTCAACGGATATTTTCCGTGGCATCTGCTTCTTATAAAAAGGAAATGTGAAAATAAGGTCATTTAATTTTGTTTCAAAGCAAATTATATACACTTTTCCAAAGTAAGATATCGAAGGCTCCAAATTATTCCAAATATGGATGAAGAAGTCCAGTAATGATATTATTGCCGCTGATAAATGGCTAGATAACCTTGACTTCATTTGAACCAGGATCTTGATTTTTCTGCCAAATGTATGATCGCAGCTCATCAATCAATGAATTTTGTACGCGTGTTGAAAATATAGACCACCCTTTTCATTTCAATAGACTACAATAATGTACATGCTATTCGAACACTTCTTAGTGGTGGGTCCTAAGATTTTGCCTCTCTTCAAAGAGCTTAAACACAAAGTAATCTCGCTGTTTGACAATTCAAAAGGCTAAATTTTCTAATGAATTTCATGTTATTTGCACATATTTGCCGTGATAATGTCGTACTGGTGTAAACCTTCTTCTCGGTTTGAGGTTGGTTTGACTTTATGACATGTCACTCAGAAGGCCTTAGAAAGCCACACAGACATACAGAAAAAACTGGGATTAAATGTTCATTAATCTGTGTCATTTTGTATGAAAATGTTAATTGAGATACCTTGTTAAAGAATTTTTTTTTCCTTATAAAGAATGCATTAAATATGATGAGTAGTAAAGCTTTTAAACCCAGAAATGTTATTTATCGCATTCATTAATTTATTTTGATGCTGTGAGGGAATATTTCATTTGTCTTTAAAATATGAGCAGTAAAAAATGTTAAAAATATTTTAGGATCATCCCCCACTCCCTACTCCACCCCAATTAGAAATGCATAATTTATCGACACAATAAGATTGATTATTTATTAAAATTGAAACTGAAATTGAAAAACTGAAAAATAAATTTTCCTTTTCAAAGTTAAAAGTTTTCCCCTTTGAAAATAGAAAACATGTTTCTGACTGTGGTTGATGGTCCATGTAAGTGATGTTGTAAAATTTTTAGAATACATGTACATGTATATATAAATCTAATATTTTTTAGAATATATACAAATCTAAAATTTTTGAATTATTTGTTACACGAATAAAAATTGCACTGTTCAATTAGGTTTATTTGGTCAATAGATTAATTTTAGAAACTTTCATAAAACATTTATCAGATACCTAGCTTCAGTTAAAAGCTAGTGTAGATGAACATTCAACACCAGTTGTAAGTTCTCTAGCACTGAATCCGACTTCTTGGATTTAATAGATATATACAACCTGACATAAACACAGACAGAGAAGATTAATATGTTTACCGACTTCATTAATATACTATTACCTGAATTGTTTATAGCAGAGTTATCGGACTTCATTATTCTTACCTTGACCTTAGCCAGCAGAACGGATGGACGTAGTCAAAGAAAATTGATTCTTTGCATTGAAAGAAAATAAAGCACACTGCAGACTTTTTTGTTCAAATTATTACTTGTAGGATCTTCCTTTCTAGGACTTCCTTTCTACGATTTTTTGCTGATTCGAATGGTCTTTGAATATTGTTTCCAAAGGCCATCTTGATTATTGCTTCGTCAATCAATGCAATTCCTCTCCGATTGTATTGCATAATGTATATTTTTGTGTCTAATTGATAATGGCATTGGGATAATTTATTATGTAATGCGTTATCATATCGATGACATCTACAATTACTCTTGCTTCATGAATCCTTGGCCTTGTTTTAATCATTGCCTTGACTCGTATCGTTCATGAATCACATGTTTCTTTGCTTCTGTTTCAAGTTTTACAAATATCAGTCAGCAGGGATATTGGAAATAAGAAAATTAATTTTGTATCTTTCTTTTTTTTTTTTTTTTTTTTTTTGGACTTTAATAAATAAAAATGATACAATAAAAATATTTAGGAATTTTAACTTTGTCTATTTTCATCATTAATAAACTTGTTGCGGAGCTTAAGAAAATCCATGAAATACGATCTTTTTAAAATTATGTTTTATTCCAAAGTCCCCGAGATTTGTCTCTTTTGAATAAAAATCTATTTGAGGGACTTATTTCCCCCTTAGATGTTGTATGGAAATTGGTTAAATTTTGTATAAGAGAATCCAGTGGTCTTATTTTATGTGTAGTGTTACTTTATTGAGGGTTACAATTATCGTACTCATTAATTGTGTTAATTTTTTGTAGGTTGTGAAAAGTCACGTAGAAACTAAATGCAAATGTCATGGTGTGTCCGGAACTTGCACTGTTAAGACATGCTGGCGCCAGTTAGCCCCCTTTCACGTAATAGGACAAGTTTTAAAACGGAAGTACGACCAAGCGTACAAAGTGGACACTAACACAAATAATGCTAATGGCAAGTTTTCTTTATCCATAAGAAGAGACGAATCCACTGTAGATCCAAAAAATTCCACACCTAGATCTGTAGACATGGTTTTCATTGAAAGTTCTCCCAGTTTCTGCAGCAAAAGCAGTTATTCCAAAGGAACGACGGGTCGTGAATGCAATAAAAATTCTACATGTCATTCATTATGTTGTGGGCGTGGCTATAATGTCATGACCCGAAAGACGTATGAAAGGTGTCAGTGTCAAGTTGTTTGGTGCTGCAAGTTTAATTGCAAAAGGTGCCTGACAGATCAAGAGGTCTATACTTGCAAATGAACGGTGAATGCAAGAACAATGATAAATTTCTTTGAATTTCTGGATTTCAAACAAACTCAAACCTGTGATAGATGGCTATGTATATTATAGCTCTCATAATATTTCATGATGATATCTTGAATCCAAAAATGTTACCGAATTCTATGATTTCTAATAATTATATAATTTTTCATGTTGTATAGATGCATTAATATTATCGTTATTTTTTATTGACTAGAATTATGAAAAATGAATCTCATCTATTTGTATTTGTATTAATTGCTTTTAGATCAGTGTACTTCAAATATGCTTTAAATGTAGTTTTTATTGTATTTATACTTCATCATCATGTCACAAATGTGAAATATTCTTTTCTTTTTCTGTGTAAATGGAATCAGAGCTCATTTTCAAACAATTGAAATTGTATTTGTTGAAATGCATATGTTAATACATGTATGTAATAAAGATTAAAGCTTTATATTTGAAGGTATTCCCAAAGATTATGTTCAAAGTTAATTTCCTTAACAGAGTATTGGAATACATGTAAGTTATGCAGATATTATTGATTTGTTTTTTAAATACCCTTTTTATACCATTTTTGCAGTTTACATTTGACTAATAGATTTTTAAAGCAATTTTATATCATGCATATATCCATCAGCAAAGATTGCATTCAAAGGTATTTGAATAAGTGATAATTAAAATTAAATTTTACTTTTGGATCATTCATATACTAATTAATATGAATTTAAAGAAGATAAATATGTGTTTTTGCCTGTAAGTGTTTAAGCTTTTATCACCAGTAAAACATCATAAGCTAATAATATTCCTAAAATTCTTACTGTATGCTAATAAATGTAATTTTAAAGTGGGTCAGTATTTATTTTCTCATACATAAGTGTTAAGCACCTCCTTTGAAAAATCGTCAGTTTATAAAACGTAAGAAACACGTTTTGAATATGTACATGTATTTTTCATGATTATACCTACTTTGCTGCCTGTTGTTAATCATATGTGAATCTTGAACAATGGACCATGTCTAATTTATTAACACTGTTCTCTTTGTAAAATGTGATTGGATTTTTTTGTTTGTTTGTTTGAAAAAGCTGCTTTGGACAAAGTACTATTGTACAGATCATCATCTAAATAAAATTGGTTCTACTGTTTTCATAATATGCTTGTATTAGTTTTGCAAAGAGATGGGTTGCTTTTGTGTTGTTAAGTTTGTGTGAACTTTCAACACAAAAATTCATCTTTCAATCCGTATGGATATTGTGAAATACATGTCTGCTTTTCGGCCAAATTGAGTTTTCTGAAGGTTCAAAAAATGAAAAAGAAAAAAAAGTTTGCTGAGACATACATGTACTAGTATTCTAGCTTTTTATAGGCTGTCAAATTCGATCGGATTTCTGAATGCATGTCATCGAAATCGTTTCGAAATTTATAAAAAGTAAATATTAATTTTTTTAAAAATGTGCAATAATAAATTTTGATCAAAATTTATCAATAAACGGAAATATAATTGATCTAAAATTTTCATTCTTTGTAGTTATTTTTTGAAACAATTACGTTTTCGATTTTTAAGTGCAAATGAATTTAGAAACAGACAAAATGTTTTGTTTTTAGCTAAGTTAATGAGTTGTACAGATACCATGTTCTTTTGAAAAAAAAAGAGAAACGTTTGATATTTTGTAAGATCATAATATTTGTGCGAAATTCAAAAGAAACAGGATGTCGTTTATTTACCAATGTTTGAGTTTCCTTGAGATTCGAAGTGGATCTGCTTTGCTGGAAAAATCCCTTTTATATTCTTAATTAGATCTCTCATTTGGCTCCTCGTACATCTAAACAAGTGTAATCTTTTGTTATGGACAACACATTAGAAGTTTGAGCTTGTCAAATGGCTGCCAAAATTCTGTTTATAGTTTTCATCTTGAGTATATGAACTCGAAAAACCTGATGATAGATGAAGAAAATAGGTATCCATATAGCTATTCAAAGTTTCTCGCTCTCTGAAAAATAGTTTACTTTGTAAATGTCTGAAACGTTTTTGTTGACATAATCAGAAAAAAATATTGCACTGATACAAAAAACAAAATAAAACAAAAAACAAAAAAAAAACAAAAAAAAATTGTCTGATGTACATTTTAATACGTGCAACTGAGGGAAAGTTACTCCGTAACTGGCCAAGCTAAGACTACTTTTATCACCCTATGTAACGACGGATAAATGTGTTGTTTTTCCTACTCTTTTCTTCTATGCATTCTTCAGACACTGTACAAGGTAAAGACAAGAAAAAGTCTGTATTTTTTGTATTAGTGATTTCTACAATGCACGAATAAGAAACAGCAAAAAATATTGGAAAATTCCTTAAAATGTGAACATATGCATTCGGTTCACAATTTTCACGAAGGACAACCCAGACATACCACCAAAGTCTTGACAGACATAAATTTCATAAAAATGACAAGATACTAATTTTTCATATTTATTTTGAAATCTTTACAGTTATTTAATGACAGTGTTCTGTGTTTTCTTGGCATTTATGACTGTGTTCTCTGGAAGTCTGCACTTTAAAACATCCGTTTATGGTATCTTCTGTTACATTTTTCAAGGAATTCCTCTTCCATTACGTTTTGGTTCCCTCTGATACACACTTCTTAATCTTAATTTAGTATGTCAATGTACAGAATGAGTAATAAATTTTGAATTTGAACATTTTACTGTAAACTTTTGTACAAATTTATCTTCATACATTTTTACGACCGTGTTCTTTCTGTAACTTAAGAATACTGTAAGAACCGAAACAGCATCTACGCCACATTATTTCTAAGAAATAGAGAGCTTTGAAAAAAAAATCAGCAGAGAAAATGATGAAAAGCCATTTTCATAATACAAACGTTAATTACATCTCACCGTTTTTATGCCGAGAAAGAGAAAAGGTTGATGATTATGATATATATAAACAATTACATAGTGAGTGTAATTAGTTATGACAAGCAATGTTCCTCTGACTTATCAAGGTGAAGGAATAGGTAAATAAAACAATCCGAGGTAAACTCTCTCCCTGGTAATTATGACCAGCTTCATCAAATGATACCCAAATCTAGGGAAAATGTCAAAAGTTCTTATCCATGAGTCAGCAGCAGAATATTCGATTGTATAATGGGGGAAAAAAATCATTTTTGGGAGTCCATCGCGTCACAGTATTACATCTGATGAAATAAACATTCTGACTTCGAATTCTGCAAATCAGTGAAGAAAAACTCTATGAAAAAATAATACATATACCATTATATACTAATAATCGGCTTATGTGCTTGTAGAAAGCCAAACGGGTAGAAGTAATAAGAAATCATTTCTGTTTTTACAATTGGGTGTTAGAAACATATCAAGAATAAAATGTACACTTTCTCTTGAACCACGATTATTCAAATTTAAGTCAAAATTACAATCATGCTTTTTTCTTTTGTGAACATCCCAGAGCTTCGGACCATGATCGATATTGGTTTGTCATGTATCACAGAGAAGATATCTTTTTTAAGAATATGTTTTTAATTCAAGAAATTTTCAGAATGCCTTGCTATAATAAAAACACCAAAATCTTTAGTTGTAAAAATCTTTAGTTGTAAAAATATGAAATTTGTTACAAATGATCCATGTTCTGCTCGTCTTTATCGCTGTGAACTACAAAAAACGAAGCAGGCGAAAGAAATTGTTGATAAATGAAATTTTGACAGCTACAGTCGACATTCACGCCGTGGCCTAATTTGTTAAATGTAGCGAATCTTTGAAGATGCATGGCCCTCATTTTTTAAATCTGCCACCAACATAGAATGTTTCTGCATGTATTCATCTTGGAATCAGTTGTGTAGTTTTTCCTTCCTAACACTGTTTTTTCAGTGAGAATTTGAATAAAGAAAATCAATTTTTTATTTACGGTGTACAGGTGCTGATATCGATATTTAGGTTAAGGTAATCGATTATTGGTTTCTCCCTATTTAAACTTTTCTTAAAATAGGATTGAAAAAGCACCGTCAAAATGAATGCTAAATTAAGAAATTGGAAGAAAATATATACGCAATCACAACACTGTTGTCACTTTTGTTTTGTTTTTGTTTTTGTTTTTTTTTAAAAAAAGAAAGACTTCGATTTTTCTTACATAAGAATAAATGTATTTTAGTAGATATGATTAATACATTTGATGCATAAAATAAATGTACATGATGCCATTACAAGTACATATTTTAAATATGAAGTTTTTTTTAAACTGCACCATAAATTTAACAGAAAAAAATATTCATGAAACAATCAAGCCATTTCAATAATATAAAAAAGATAAATCTACAATGAAAGAACTTACAAATGCGTTTGCAGTCATGCTGTAATATTGCGTTTGCATTTGCTTAACAGAGTTCCAAAAAGATAAATCTCTTTAAATCTGAGCTACAATTAATGTATTTTTTGTGAAATGAAAAAAATACAATGCTTAAAACTTAAAACAAAGATATCGTTTAGATATGGAGGGGTTTCATCCTGGCAGTGACAATAGTTGCAAAGTCAAAGATCCAATTAAACAACTACGTATTAGGCTATTGAGATATAATTCAAACCATCTTTACACTGCATTTCCTTTCACCATGTCATGTTTTGATATTTTACTCAGGGTATGTGAATTGACAAATACTCAATTCCATATCAGAAACTCCATCAATAAAGTTGTTTTTTTAAATGTCGTCATCTTCGTTGTTTTTTCCTGGAGTCACCAGCAACTCTATAAAAACTGACTCAGTTTAGTAAGTGTCAACAAATGAGGATGATTTTTATTGAGCAAAACTCATTGCATGCTTACTAGTTTGAGTATAGCCTTTCCCCCGCATAGTCACTGCTGTTAAGACGATTCCGAAGATGTCATGAAACACACAGCTATCAAAGACACAAATTCAAAGAATCTTGGCAAGACCTCTGGAATGTGTCTTACAAGACCTCTTAACGAAATAATCACTGACAGTACACTAATGAAGCCATGTACTCTCTAGAATCATCATAAAAATAGTCAGAGCTATAGCAGCAGTAATATATTTCTATTAAAAATGCCCAATACTGTCATGCAAATTAGGTTTTACCTTGAAAAGAACTTTAAGATGTTAATCACTTAACATTGTTACAAATACATATATGCTTAGATATATCTAAAGGACTTCTAAAATATTCTTAAAACATTCTCATATTAAAAGAAACTAGAGGTACTGTAAGCACTGAGCTCACAAAATGATATCCCCGCTCCAATATGAGTGTAATGGCAAAGTCCATTTTTCGCTATGGGAAACACCAAATATCTGTCTATCAGGACAAAAAAAAAAGAAAATAC